ATATTTAGAGATTCCACTTGGAAAATGCCGACCTGTCAAAGCCTGACTGTGGCTGATGGGGACCATGCAGGGCAGCGCAGAGCACCCCCTGGGATCGCGACATGAGCCACACCAACGACAGGAAGCGGGGAAAGCTGCCGACCTTCTCTTGCTTGGTTTTGACTCCATCTACCTTCTTCACAGCAGAAACCTATCTACGAACCTGCCGGGGACCTCTGCACGGAGGGGCAGGGACTAGAGCAGCCACACGTGCCCCACACTTGGCCAAACATGACCAACACGGCTGGAAAGGGCTCACGTGCCGCCACGGCAGCAACACGTGAGCACCACAGTTCTCACGATCCCCACAAAGCGCTTGTGAGATGCGTCAGGGAGGTTATGCGTGTGGCGATCACACAGAGAAAAGATGCTGGGCAGAGGCTGAACGTGATGAGGTCCCGGGAGCCGAGCCCGGACTGGGATCTGGGAGGCTGGCTGCCCAGCTTCATCAACCAGGAAAACAGCCCCAACTATCATGGCCTCTAGGCCCCTTTGTGAATAAATACCTGTAACCCTTCCTCAAATAATACAATTAACTTTAAGTTTTAGGGGCACCTGGCTGGCTCAGTCGGTAGAACATGCAACTCCTGATTTCAGGATTGAGAGTTTGAACCCCACGTTGGGTGTAGAGATGACTTAAAAATAAAATTTTTAACAACAACAAAAAAAAAAAGTTTAAGTTTTAAAAGTACCAAAGCCACTCAAAGCCACTCAAAGCCCATTCTGACTGGAGGGTTTGATCCTTATCAATTAGAATACCCACACGAACTCTAGAACTCTTTCCCAGACTAAAGAAGGCCAATATTAGTTTCTCAGAAAACAACCAGCAAATCCTCCCCCAATACCGCCCCCAGATGAACCCTCACTATTTACTGTAAATGGCGGCTAAGCTTTCCTACCATTTCTTCCTTAATAATTCACAACTTCAGTACGTGAACACTCTACAGGACTGTTAGTGGCCTTTGTGTACATTATCATTTTATGGAGATTCCTAGAAGGAACAAAACAAGAGGGCTTCTAGTTTTCATGGGACTTCCTCTGCTCTCACTCTGGGCAGTGGGAACCAGATGTGGGTTTGGCAGCCTCCTGCTTGACCATTCGGTGTGGGTGTGGCTCTTGCCTGACCACGACTGAAGCCCCAGCATTCACCACTGGGCTGAGCAGCTCAGGCTCTCGACAAATATTCGATCAACTGAAATTTAGAATAGAATTACAGCAGAGGGGCGCCTGGGTGGCTCAGTTGGTTAAGCGGCTGACTTCGGCTCAGGTCATGATCTCATGGCTCGGGGGTTCGAGCCCCGCGTCGGGCTCTGTGCTGACAGCTCGGAGCCTGGAGCCTGCTTCGGATTCTGTCTCCCTCTCTCTCTGCCCCTCCCCCACTCACACTCTGTCTCTCTCTGTCTCAAAAATAAGTAAACATTAAAAATTTTTTAATTGGGGCGCCTGGGTGGCTCAGTCAGTTAAGCGGCCGACTTCAGCTCAGGTCATGATTTCGCGGTCCGTGAGTTCAAGCCCTGCATCGGGCTCTGTGCTGACAGCTCAGAGTCTGGAGCCTGCTTCCGATTCTGTGTCTTCCTCTCTCTGACCCTCCCCTGTTCATGCTCTGTCTCTCTCTGTCTCAAAAATAAATAAATGTTAAAATAAAAAATTTAAAAATAAAAAAATAAAAATTTTTTAAATGAAAAAAGAATAAAATTACAGCAGGGATATCTTTTGGCCCCTTTTGTTGGGCTATTTGCATCACATGACTACTTTAACCGCTTCTGGGTGAGCCCAGGTCACGTGCCCATGCCACACACAGCAGGTAAGTATTTCCTGTAAGCTGATGAGATGGTTTTACTGTCAAGGACGAGGCAAGTTCTCAACAGACGTAAGGGCTCCAGTCTTCTCTTCTACAGCTGAAGCCAAGCCCACGAGGCATCTCCAGCAAGACAGCAGCCTGTGCCTCACAATCCTACCCAGCGGGTCTGGTCACTCACGGCTGTGGGCCTTTTTCAACCAGCTCCTCTGGAACACTTCCCGGAAGCTTAGTCTTCAACTGCACCTAATGCTGAGCTCCTCCTGGGGCTACAGGGCTGACTCTTGAAGCCTGGCTTGAATCTGGCTCTAATTATGTGGACAAAGTCCTTGTTTCCAGGCACGAGTGCCCGAAATGTCATCCCAGTCCGCATGAGCTGCATCGGCCCTCTCCAAGAGAAATGAGGAACGTGGGTTTTGTAGGAGGGTGGCAATCCCACACGCAGCGTGGACCCCCGACCATCCCACCCAGGCTCTCTGAGTTCCCACCGTGCTCCGCAGTCTGACTGAATACCAATCACGTGGTCTGCCACCTGTAATCAGCATCTGCGCTTGCTTTCTCACACGATGGTACAGGTCTCAGTCTCCACCGCTTAACTCTCGTCAAAATCTTGCTCCTGAGAAATCACACTCATGCCTGTTGTATATGCAGCCCCCACAATGCAAGACACTCGCCACTGTATGGCGGGGACAATCCAGACCATTAGAGTGCCGGTCGTGGTCCGTCAGGCCTGCTGTGACACAAATACCAAACACAGGGGGGCCTAAACAGCAAATGTCTCCCCCTCACAGCTCTGGAGGCTGAAGTCCCAGACCAAGATGCCAGCACGCTTGGGCCCTCGAGGGCCCTCGTCGTGGTTCCCAGGGTGTCCTCACACAGAGGAGAGAAAGAGCCCTGTCCCCTTCATCCAGAGTCAAGTCGCGGCCGAAAGAAATTACAATGTACACGGAGGGTGTACGTATTTGCGCCTGGGGGGCTTCAGGAAAGGCTGTAGAGAAGAGATATTCCTTGAACTAAATCTCGAAAGACAACTAAGTAACAGGCAGTCGGGGCAGCAGAGACATTTCAAGCAGAAGACGAAGCCCAAACAAAGGAATAAAACCCCGTCACACACTTCTGCAGCCCCAAGTGCTTGTGCAAGGTGCACGGCCCTGGTGGGACCAGAGGAACAAGAGCTCACAGCAAAATCTGGAGACGGAGCGGCCACAGGCGGCCCTGTAAAGTCAGGCAAAGCCAACAAGTCGGGTTCTGTCCCATGAGCAACGGGGAGCAAGGCAGGCTGGGAGATGTGCTGACCTGCCAAATCTTCCAAAGGGGTTTCCTTCCACTTCACCAGTGGTGCTGATCTGCCGTGGGGTGAAGACCCCGCCCACGGGGCATCCCACACCCGATTACATGCAGTTTCTCTTTCTAGTTTTAACAACATCAGGCATGAGCGGGGTGACGGATGAGTCACCGGGACAAACGGCTCATTTCTGAGGCTGACGGTCTCTGAGAACCATTCAGAACGTGTTTACACCTGGTGGGTAGTACATAAAACCAGTTTTTTGTAGCCCACCGCTGACCACACCAGGCAAGAGAACTGGCACCGGGCCTCCGGCAAGGCTCACCTCGCTGTTCAGAGGCAGCTCCCCGGCACAGGTTCGTTGCCGAAACACTGGTCGCTGAAGATTTAACAGTATTTGCCTAAACGCCAGACCACCTGCTTCTACCCAATCTGTTTCATCTAAGGATTGTAGACAGCTAGGGGATTAAAGAGCTAACATCACAGTATTTTTTCAATCAATTCTCTATTTGCGAATGTAGGTGTAAGATGTCTCCAAGAAGAAAACGGAGATTTACTGAGCGCTTGGATGTGCCAGCCACCGGGCTCCAGGCTTTTGTAAGCATCAGCTCAGCTAAAACAACACCAACGGCCCCAGGAGGGGCAATTTTTACACCCATTTTCAAGATCTGAAACTGAGGCTCACAGAACCAAGGTCACACACTAGTAAAGAATAAACCCTACGTTCTACCTTCCATACGGGGCTGCCTCTGTGACATAACCTTCCCCTCCCGGCGTCTCCGTGTGGAGAAAAGCACTTTTCCTCCTCAGCCCCGATAACCTGCCAGGACCAGCCCACCCTGCTCCACTGACAAAACTCCCGACCACGTGGGGATCTAGATGCAGCACCAAAATCCTAGAATGTTCTGTTAGGTTCGGGATGTCCCATTATGCGGGATGTCCCATTATGCAAATCTAGATGCTGACAGTTCATGACGAAGATGAAAAATCATTTAAAAAGACCATAGACAGTGGCGCATACTGTGAGGCAGGCCAGCAGTGGGTGCAATGGAGACCCAAGACTCTCCTACCCATGGCGGGTGTGTGCACCAGGAGGGAGTGCCGGCAAAGGCCTCCTAAAAACCAGGCCTGTAATGAGTCTGAAAAAACGAGCATGCACGCAACAGGTTACCGCCACGCAGAAGAAAGACGGACCCTAGGGCACGCACGGCGTCAGGGAAGTCACCAAAGTGTGTGGGAGGGGCTACACCCTTGTCCGTGTGGCAGGGGCCTGTGGTCTAAGGAAAGGGGAAACCCTGGAAGCCTGTAGGAGGAAGAGGCAAGGTCAGGTATGTCTCATCCCCGCAGAGGTCACGCCGCGGGCTCTGGAAGCAGGCAGACCAGGGTCTGCATCTGGCTGTGTCGTCCACAAGGCACACGGCAATTACATGATGCCACTGGCCCGATTCTCTCATTGACACGATACTCCCACTTCCTAGTGCCACTGCTGAGATTTAATGAGATAATGAACCAGATACACAGCAATCAAACGTTGAAACTCTCAGGGGTGGAGGGGAGGGCGCAGGGCGGCTCAGTCAGTTAAGCGTCCAATTCGTGATTTCGGCTCAGGTCAGGATCTGGCGCTTTCACGAGTTCGAGCCCCTCATCGGGCTCTGCAACAGGCAGCATGGAACCCGCTTGGGATTCTCTCTCTCTCCCTCTCTCTGTGCCCCTCCCCCACTCCCACTGTCCCTGACTCTCTCAAAACAAATAAATAAAACTTAAAAATTTTTTAAAAAGAGAATGGAAACTCTTGTCAAGATCTACACTTATGACGCAAGTGGTAGAAAAATCTGGCAGTGAGGCGCCCGTTGGGCACGCTGGCAGGGCCCGCCTTACCTGACGATGGGAAGCTTGGTGAAGGGCACTGGAGGCAGGGTGGGCCCACCTGGGAGGGTGAGGAGTTCCATGGTCCCAGGACATTTGCACGTGTAGTTCTCCAGGCTTTGAGTCACGTCTTTCTTTTCTGAAAAGAAAAAAACAAAATGAAGGTCAATTAAATAAGAGTAAAAGTAGGGGTCTTTGGGTTTGGTGGGGGGGGGGGGGGGTGGTTTGAGCAAAATAAAATTCTTAACCCAATCCATGCCAGTCCAGTGAGTCCATATTGTGACACAAATGAAGGGGCGCTGCTACAAGAGACCAAAAGAAAGCAGATGCTTTATTCACCTCATTTAAATAATCACCAGCAATGGCTCCATTCAGGGGCATATGGATAAAAAGGAAGTTAAATTACTATCTTCTAGAAGACTTCATTTCCCAAGAGAAAAAATCCTTACCAAATTCCAAGAAAGTCAGTAGGCAGGCAGGACTGGAGAATCAGTATATTTTATTACCTGACAAATACATTTCCAGAAATTACCAGGTACCAAGGTAAATGCCAGGCCCTTTCCCCCAAGGAGTCTACAATCCATCTGTGTCATAGATATTTAAGAGAATAATTACAAACCCAGACTATTTTGCTCCACCCCCCCCCCCCCCCCCCCCCCCCCCCCCCCGGCTGGGACGGAGGGAAACAGGATACAGGGAATGCCGGCTAACGGTCCACAACATGCTCACAGGCTTTGTAACACCCCGGAGCTCAAGAGCACGTTACACACCCCAAACTGCGTAACTACTCAGGAAGGCAGGCATCGCAATGCTCTTTTTACAAATGGAAAAGCTGAGACCAGACCAGGCCCAAGGCTTGTCAAAGATGTGTCAGACCTAAGCCAGTGGTCTTCTCACTGATCCCTTTGGAAGGATTAAGGGAGGCGGAAAGGGAGTTCACTCCTCCTGGCTTCCATTTCCTCTGCCACTGCCTGCAGGGAAAGGCGGAGGGCACGGGGACAGTGGTGACAGAGGGACACAACACCTAGGAGTCGCCCCAGCTTCAGATGAATGGCTTGGTCCCGCTGGTCCAAGGTGGGATCGCCTTAGGGGAAGGCATTCAACCAGAGCCAACCTTCTGCCCTGAAGAAACTACTCAGGATGGAAAGAGGTAAAGCATTAAAAAGCAGTGACTGGCAGGGGCGCCGGGGTGGCCCAGGCGGTTAAGCGTCCGACTTCGGCTCAGGTCATGACCTCGCGGTCCGTGAGTTCGAGCCCCGCGTCGGGCTCTGGGCTGACGGCTCAGAGCCTGGAGCCTGTTTCGGATTCCGTGTCTCCCTCTCTCTCTGCCCCTGCCCTGCTCACACTCTGTCTGTGTCTCTCGCTCTGTCTGTGTGTCTCTCTCTCTCAAAAAGAAAAAAGAAACCAATGAGTGGCAGATGTGAGCACTGAGTGCAGTGAGACAGTGAGAGCTGACGGTCATCACACAGCCACACGGCTGCACTGAGAGAGAGGGGACAAGGTTGCCAGAGAGCAGATATAGTGCTCCTCCGGGACTGGGGACCATAAGTAGCAAATATCGAGGTAAGGACATGTATTTTAACTGGTAAAAGCTGCTGCCGCAGGCATTTCTGTGTCTAAGCAGCATTCTCTGGGAAACAGGGGGGCAAGAAAGCAACCAGAATTAACTTCGGATGTGACACTGTAATGTTTATCTGCAAGATGAACAAAATTCTTTAAATAAGGAAATCATCTTCGATGTATACATGATAAATCTCCTGAAGGGCTCCAGGCGATGGCGTGCAAATGACCTCATTTGCCTAATGCTGGGTACGGTGCTCATGGCTTAGGTGTCTTATTAAGTTGGATTACGGCCTCTGAGTAAACCCTGCTGAAATGAAGAGGGAAATGAATCTACCGGTGAAGCCTAACGCCCCCTGCAAAGTCTTCCAGGAAGAGCCCCGCAGCACATGCCTCGGCTTAGCTATGGATCGGCCTTTCCGCGCCGACACTGTGCACAGCGCGAGTGCCAGCAGGGAAGCATCGCGGCTGCCGGCTTCTCATGCAGGGCCGGCTCACCGGGGACCCCACGGCCTGTGCGTTCCGGCCCCTCCTTTCCCTCTGCTCGCTGTCCAGGCGGGGGAGGAGCCTGGCTGCGAGCGTCCTCGGGGCTCTGCGGAAGGCAGGTGAACCGGCCAACATCTCAGGAGCCGCTTACGCTGCTCCATGTGCACGGGGCCCTCCCCGCCAGCTGTGCGAGGTGGCTCCAGGCAGATCAACTCTCTCCTCACTTCCCATCAGGTGACATGCTAATAAGCTGCTGAGGGGGAGGCGCCCTCCCCCCGGAGCCAGGGAGGGGACGTGGGGGTGTCACCGGTTCCTGACATGACTATCGGCCAATTCTCCTCCCTTATCCCTCTCACGGCACTACATCAGGAGCGCCCTCTGCACCACGCTCACGTCCGGGGCTCCTTCTGGAGCTTCCACAGGGCACAGGAACTAGGACCACATCCCACCACCCAGAGACTTCACGTCACTGCAGTGGAGTTTCCGGAGTAAATGCTTGTGTGCGATTGCGGGTGAGGTCCATCCGATGGGAAGGTCCCACTGACCTCTCTCCTCGTGGATTTGAGCACCTGCCCTACGTTGTTTCCCAGATTCGTTATTTTATCAAGGATTACAAAATGGTGATTTTGTATTTCTTAAGTTCTCTGTACTTAAAACCTAGAATCTGTCTGTGAGGAAGGATTTTGTTCCTTATCAACCATCCCAGAGCACCAATGATACAGAAGAGAGGGGTGATGAATGGCTGAGCCTTTCCCTGTACTTACTGGAGTGGACAACTGCCTCCAGCGATGTCCAGGAAGTTAGATGTGATTTAGTACCGTTATGAACTGGTGGATTTTTATACATTTGGTATGTCACTTGATTGCCATCACACTTTTTTCTGATGTTCAGGTTGTCCCATCTTTGTCCACTGGGAGCTCTGTCACAGTGATTCCTGTGTCCTTTAGATAAGGCCTCATTATTCATCAACAGCTTGCTCTTTCTAGCTCATTTTCAGTCCCAGACCTAGAACCAAACCAGTTCTCCAAGAAGCCCTGGATCCTAGTGGGAAACAGTGCTTAGAAATCAGAGTCTGGAAGCCAAGGGCACTCATCACTGCTAGATTCTTACTGTCTCTCTAGGCCTTGACAAAAGGGACCACTTACAAAATGTTTTAAGTGTTGAGATTTTGTTAAGTGACTTTACTTTAAATTTTAAGATTTGGCAACTAAGGGGTGCCTGGGTGGCTCAGTGTGTTGAGCGATCGACTTCAGCTCAGGTCTTGATCTCACGGTCTGTGAGTCTGAGCCCTGTGTTGAGCTCTGTACTGACAGCTCAGAGCCTGGAGCTGCTTCAGATTCTGTGTCTCCCTCTCTCTCTCTCTCTGCCCCTCCCCACTTGCGCTCTGTCTCTCTCTCTCTCAAAAATGAATAAACATGAAAGAAAGAAAGAAAGAAAGAAAGAAAGAAAGAAAGAGAGAGAGAGAGAGAGAGAGAGAGAGAGAGAGAGAGAGAAAGAAAGAAAGAAAGAAAGAAAGAAAGAAAGAAAGAAAGAAAGAAAGAAAGAAAGAAAGAAAGAATATGATGTCAAAATAAAACACTACAATTCCTCACAGGTGATTTCACAGAGGCAGGACCAGAGTCTGGGAGAAGACCACGCACGAAACCTGATTCTACTGATAAGGCTTCATAAAGAAGAGGCAACATTCGGTCTTTGTCTGGGGCACAGGTCTCTGGAAGCAAACACCATGAGTACAATACTTGGAGGTTTCGCTAAGTTGTGGGGAAAGAATGACAAGAATAAGGACATATGGCCATTAAAGAAACCATGTCTGAGGGGGAAAAAAGACTAAGGACACAGAGTGAATCCCAATATATCATTATAAGTCGTATGTGCACAACAAAACCTGACAGAGAAGCTGTCCGAGGCACGTGTGAGAGGGAGCAGGCTAAGACTGAAAATGCCCAAAGGGCTGAGGGTGCAGAGGGCACGGGGGCTCCAGATGGAAACAGCAACGTAGAATATGACACTGGCTGCCGTGGGAGGGGGCTGCTGGCTTTCCCACGCGGTGACTGGCAAACATTTCACACGTGCCTCACACGTGCGTCCCTCTCTGAGACAGGACACCTCGGAGACTTGTGACGTTTGCTGCAGGGATCTCACTGCTGGCAACAGAGGACGCACCCAAGTTTGCCAGGCAGACAAGGAAGGCCTCTGTACAGGGAAGGAAAGGAGAGGTGCTCAGAGGCGAGAAACGGTGGGGCCGCTCAGGGTCCACTTAGTTTGTACTTGGTCCTGCCGTCAATGGAGACCAGCACTGTTTCAGCACTAAGCGGCCCCTACCTGGACAGCTGCAATCACTACTCCAGTTGCACGTACTGAGCACTTACTGCATGCCAAGTATTGTACTAGGCGCTCAGACTATAGAGTCTGTAAGGGAAGAGACCCTGGTACAGAGCAGAACTTCAATAATCTTTATCCAAATCCCCTCCCACAAAATCCTGCCAAAAAGGGGTGGGAGGCATCATTATCCCCCTTTTAAAGTGATAAACATTAGCTTAGCGACAATCTGAGAGATCTGATTGTGGATTAATATAAAATGCTACCAAAATGATTTATTAATGCTTAAGTGTGATATTAAATACCATGGTTATATAAGGAAATGTCCTTTTTTTAAGCAGTGCATCCTAAGGACTGAAGGTGTGAACTGAAATGATGTCTTAGGGTTTTTAAAAAGTAATCCAGCACACAAAGCAAGTGAGAAATGAAGTAAATGTATAAAAATCTTACTAAGCATCGAATCTGGTGTATGGGACCGCTTCATTATTCCTGGTACCTTTCTGTTTGAGAATGTGTCGCAGCAAAAATATTTAACGAGCCTGGGGAGGTGAAATGATCTGCTCAAGAGAGGCACCGAGCTGGAATTTTGGAATTTGGATCTGAGGTGACGAAGCCTTCCTGTCCCCCAGATTAGGCCTGATCACAGACACCCCAGTGTCGCAGTAACACAAACAGCAGGGCTCCCAGCCACAGCGGTTTGAACCCGTGTTCCACACGCCCAGCTGGAACGAAGCTCGTGACCAATCCGAGCGTTGTCCTAAGTGTAGGATTTGG